ATGGTTCGCGACCCGACGAGGGCCCAGCCCAGGGCGAACCTTCGGCGTTTGCCGTTTCACGGAGACAGTGCGCGCAGCCCTCACACGTGCTCCAGCTGCACTTGCCTCCCCCCCAAAGCGTGCGCCACGCCGCCGAGTGAGAGTCGCAAAACGGCCGGCACTGTTGCTGGTTCTGCTGCCGCTGCGTGGGTGGGGTTGGCGTCGGCGTCGAATTGGTGACAAACTCAGAGCAGGCTGGCGGTGGGGGTGGGGGGGGGGGACGTCATACAACAAAATGTGACTCGACTCGTTTGGGGCTTCCTTGGTGAACGGCGTTAACATCAAGGGTGTGTGAAAGAGGGACGGCGTCTGGAGGCTCTTCCCTTCCGGCGCCCTTTCAGGTAGGTTGTGTGATTGGTAAGGGCGCCCTTAATTTGGGGAGGGCGCTGCGAAATCCGTGCAAGCGCCTTACAGTATTTTTATACAATACTCAGGTCCCGCTAGCAAGTCTTCCTAAGGGAGGGAGGGAGAGCAAACAACTGGGAAGTTCACAGCTGAGCTACCCTGAGAACGCCGTTCTCACCTGGAAGGCGTCTTGGTGACGGCAGACCGGCACACAGGATCGCACAGGGGTCCTGAAGATTTTGATGTCCGAGAAGGACGACTACTCCGGCGGCGGCGACTGTGACGAGGACGAGCAGTGCGGGCGCGGCGAGTGCGACGAAAAGCGCCGCGTGTGCCGCTGCACGTCGCTTCTGAGGGGCGGGCCGTACTGCAGCACGCCAATCTCGGAGAGCGCCGTCGGCTGCTCTGCTGCTCAGGCGGCGGCGGCTGCGGCGCAGCGCAGTCGGTCCGTCGGCGCGCCGCTCGTCTTCTGCTCGGTGCGCACGCCAGTGGCGGTGCTGGGGGGGGGGCGGAGGGGGGGAAGCGCTCGGGGACGTCGCACGCGTCTCACCCGGGGATGGGCGTAGAGGCGCAGGCCGTAGAGGCCGGCAGGGGTGGCTGTCGTCTGGATGCGCCAGGCCCACCCTCGCGCGGGCCCGGCCTCCTTCACCTCTGCCCTCCTTTTCTCGCAGGCGCCCGCTTCGTACAACGACACGCAGTTTGCCGAGGTGCGGCCCCGCACGCTCACGCGCCTTGCCCGCAGC